GATAAATTAATAGCAACTTTAAGACAAATTTATGCTTCTAAAGTATAAAATATTTGTTTATGAAAATAATTTTCTGGAGAGCAGCACAGTAAAAAATATTAGGTTCAAAAAAAAAAACTATCGTAAAGATCAAAAAAAACCCCTATTATGAAGTAGGTCAAAGAAAAAAAAACTATTATAAAGATCAAAAAAAAAAAAAAACTACCGTGAAGTAGGTCAAAAAAAAAAAAAAAAAGTATAAAAACAACTTTCGTCGTTTGTTTATACAGTATACTGGGTTACGTTGAAGAGTTTAAAGTTCTCTGTAAAATAATTTCTGTCCTATATTGTTAAGTTTATTACTAATAATGACAAAGGCAAAGGCAAAGGTTTTACAAATCAAATATGCATAGCATACATGTATATGTATATATGTGCGTATAAACCTTTATTTCATGTTTCATTTTTTCGACCTTAGCTGGCTGCATGTATTCTGATTGCTCACATGATTGGACACGACTTTAGACATCCTCCATATTTGAGCAGCAATGATCGCACCTTATTTGGTAATGATCTTTAGTAAGATTTTTCTAGATTTCATTTCCAGATTGTTCTACAGATCGTAATTTCTCTATTAAAATAATCACATTGCCGGTTCTTCTGTTCAATATTAGATAAAAGTTAAAACATCATGTATTATCTTTGCTGATATTTCTGTATTCGCAACTTATCTAATTAAAAGAATTCGACCATTAAGTTACAGTAATTTTGTTTTTAGTTATATGCATCAACTCTGATTATATCGATATTCAAAAGTAATTATTCGATATATTCAACTCCAAAAAAAGAAAGCCAACGTCAATTAACCAGAGTAACGTTATTAAATAGTTTCAAAATAAACTTTATGCTGTTCAAAGTTATTAAACTACCTATATTGATCTAAATTTTCGTTCTACTAAATATTCTAAATTTTATTTAATGCTACAATCAGTGATTATTTTTGTGTACAGACTGTGCATAGCAAAAAGAAACAAAATTTTGCACACATTTCAGCATTTATTTTGAACAATATGTGCAGATGCTGTACAAAAAATTAATATTTTGTAAGAAGAGCGCACTCTTGTAAATAGTTGCTCATAGTTTTTACTTGTCGCACAAAAAAGTTTCGGTATCCGTCACAGTAAATTTTAACTAAAAAATTAATACTGTGAACAATATCAAATTACAATAAATAAATAATCAATATTCGCCTGACAACAATTCTATTTCAATAAACTTTTGAATTAAATAAAGCCATCCTCTTCGACTTTAATCTTAGAAACAATTATTACATATGTTAACATTGTCTCTCTCTGCAAACTCTTAATAACATTCGAATGCCTTATAGTTATTTTTAACTTCAATTCCGTTAACACCAATAGTCAATATCTAGAATGACTATGCTTATTGGTAAAACCCAGATAAATCCCAAACTTCAAAAAAAAAAAAAAATTTTTAAAAATTTGCAAACATATTATATGTAAGAATATATACGATTTGTTTAAATAAAGATTTTTAATGAAGTTTTAAGATATTAATTTGGCCAGAGTTTGGGATTTGGGCGTAAACAAACCTAAACTATAGTAGTTTGGGATTTTGCCAACAAATATAAGAATGACCTATCTTAGCCAATTTTTGTTAATATTTGAACGTTTAGATTTATCCTTTTTGATTTTGATAATTTCAACTAAAATATGAGATAATGAAAAATAAATCAACCATATTATTATTTAGAACACAATGAAATAATAATACTCACCATTCACTACTCTTCTAATTCTGCCAATACCATAGCACATAATATTTTGCAGTTGAAAACATCTCGTAATCGTTGTTAATTTTATAAAAATCAAATATTGTCGCAAAGTAACCTCACTTTTTTGTTTAGTAAGCATTTTCAAGCTCAAAAAAAAATTTCAAAACGAAAGTAGTTGGCAAGTCTGAAATTCTTTCCACTCCTAATAACGAAAAAAAAGCTCTCAAACGCAAACACAAATGCATTTTATTAACACGAATGAGGAATGTAGAAATACCAGAGCTAGCAAGTTCATTCTTGTGTAATAATACTCTGAACATAGTAGATTACTATCTCTAAATATGAATGAATGAGTACACATTTTATGAGCCTTAAACAAAAAAAAAAGGAAAAAAGCTTTTCAATATTAGGACGAAAACATGGCAAAATCATCTGGCTAAGAATACGACTTTACTAGTAAAGATCTCATATAAATGCTGTCTAAAGAAAAATGAGACTTCGGGTTTCAATTTTATAATTGATTATTTATTAGATTCAGCCTATAAAAAATCTGATTGGTAATATATGGTATGTGACTACGTATAATATATATTACTAACTGATTTTAAAGAGCTGAATCTGATAAATAACAAATGATAGAATTGGAAGCCCAAAGTATCATTCCATTTGGCAGCATTTATATAATTGGCATTGATACTATATTTGAATAACAATGCCTAACACTATGTTTTATTATATCAAACATGGCATTTGCAGAACCTAAATACTTAGAATAATTCAAATAAAATGTCATGAAGGTCATTAGTATAATAAATCTAAGCTGATTTTTATATATATATTTTTTTTTTTTTTTTTTTTTTTTTTTTTTAAAAGCGAGGCCGTGCCTCTGTTCTTTTATTAGAATTCATATGATATTACAAATGTTATTACAATACTTTATGTTTTCTAATCTATATGAAATTAAAGAATAAAGCTACTTTACTTTTGACCTAAGCTTTTGCTAAGATAGGTCAACAACCTCATTAGTCTATGTATAGAATATTGAGTGGAGAGGTGTTTGCTGTTATAAAATCATTAAGCCAATGGTTATATTTATATTTTTTATGATAATCAGGGTGTTTGGGTTGATGTTTGTTTATGATCAAAATTGAAGATTGAGAACTTTGCATAGCTTGGTTTTGGAGTTGCGTGCATCTTGCTTTCCAAGTCTTCTTTTAGATTTCCTTGATGATATGATGAAGAAAGTAGCAGGTGGGATTTTTTGTTGCATTGATGTCTGCTTGAGAATTTTTATTAATAATAATATCATTTGTAATAATTCCAAGTGGTGCAGGTTGTGATTTGTATATAAACTTTTGTAAAAAGTTTTGTATAAAGTTGGTAGTATCTAGATTAATCTGATATTTTTGTATTGTTCGATTGAGAACTTGTGTGATTATTTGTTTAATTGGATGCATGTTAGTTATGCATGTAAGCCAGTGTTGATTATCTTCATTTGTTTGCGTGCATCTGTAATATGTAGGGTTGCTGTATTTTGCTGGGTGTCGAATATGTAAATTAAGAAGTGTTGGAAGTTTATCCGTTATTAATTTTATTTTGAAGGTTTTGATTTTGGTTTGGGTAGGATGTGTATATTAGCTTAAAGGGCTGTTGTGATAGTTTATAAGGTTGAAGGTGAGTTCCCAGTTGATTTCTTTTAAATCTAAGTTCCATAAGTATATTCTATTTAAATTGTGCCAATCTGTTATATTTTTTGCATTCTGTAGGTGTCTTAATAGTCTCAGGTTGTGTAGAAATGCGTGATAGCTAAGTTTGGGAGTATAAGTATTGTGCAGTATTAGCTTAGTGTTGATTTCGGTAGTGATAGTTGTGCTTGTAGAGGTTGATTTGATTATGGTATTAGTTGTTGAAATTTGTATTGTTAGATCTTTTCTCGTAATTGCTGCTTTTATAGTTGCTTTGTAGATTTCAAAGGGTGTGGATAACAATTGGTTAACAAGGTATGTAGGGGTTTGAATTATGTTTGTAAAGTTGTGATCTAATTGTTTTTCATCAGTAATGATGTTTAGTGTACAAGCATGTGGTACCACAGTAATTAGCATTAGCAGTGCTGTCAGTAAAGCTTTCTTTTAGACAGCCAGGTTGAGTTTGAAACTTGAAAGTCAAAAGGTGTATTGGTTATTGTTCAGCAGGCTATGGGGTTGTGTGTTAGGTTCGTGCTATTAGGCTATATATTTATATTCATGTTTAATATTGTTTTTTCATAGAGAGATCTGTAGATTTGCCATAATTTTTGTTGTAGATTGGGTGTTGCCTCCATTAAGTTTTTTAAAATCTGGTCTTTATATGTAGTAAAGGTGTGTTTTCGTTGTATTTTTATAGTATTAGGGTAACGCTGTGTAGGAATTGTATTTAAATCCTTGATGTTTGCATGTATATATTTCTTTTTGTCTACTTGTATATGTATTAAATTTTGCTTAGAATCTTTAAGATAGCAGCATTGTTGATTTGAGGAACTAAGTCTACATCCCATATATTTGGTTAGTTGGTGAGGATTGTTTGGTGATTGTTTTCAGTATCGGAGAATGATAGTTTGATTTTTTCTTCTTAAAAATTTTCCAAAGGTCTGAAGTCATGGGTTATAGACCTATGCAATGTGTTGATTACTTAGAGGTTGTGCAATAAAGGAATTGGGTTGGACAAGCTATTTATGGGTATTTTCTGCTGCAGCGATATCATTTAGAAGGGTATTATACCACTTTGGTTGTCTGCCTCTGGGTATTCTTTGTGTGTTGTGGTGTGATTCCTGCCAGGTTAGGAGCTGTATATGAGAATAGTTAGTTAATTGTTCAATAAAGTAGATATGATGCGTATTTAGTTTTCCTTTTATAACTGAGGCTTTCGAGTTCAAGTATAGTATATTATTGATAGAGGTTTCTATTTGGTTCATTGGTATAGGCCAGATATTACTGTCATTGTGTAATGTAAGTTGGACTTTGTGGAGTTCAAGTACTATTTGAGCGGTAGTTGTTTTGTTTTCTGGTTTTGAAAAAATAGGTTGATGAGTGAGTATCAAGAGGTTTGTAGCAGCTGAATTTTGTAGTTGTTGTAGCTGTATTTTTAATACAAATATGCCAAAGGAGGGGTGATTGAGAATTTTGATAAAGTTGTTGATATGTTGTAATTGCTGCATATTTTGAGTTGTTTTTAGACTATAGATTCGGTTGTAGAATAATATTGAACTTGGAATGATACTAGTAAATCCAGCTTTGTGTTTAATGAGATTAGAGTAAGATTTAGTGATTTTATCTAACTGTGAGCTTGAGAAGGAGGTGTTTTGGATCTGGTAGGCAAATCGAGTAAGAATTACTGAATTAATTATGTATATTGCTTGCTTATCTATTATTTTTGCATGCTATAATTTTCGTAAGGCTGCCATAATTTCATCAGTGATAATTGTATGAGTAGATTTGTGAGAAAGAGTTCTGAAGAACCAGCATTCTAGAATTTAAAAGCTTGGTCAAGAGGAATGTTAGGTATTGTTTGTTGATTAAAAGTGATTTGCGCATTGTTCATCTTGATATTGGTAGCTAGGGTTGATTTGTTTAGATTTACTTTTATATTGGCCATATTGTAGAAGGATATTGCTGTATGGATTAT